TGTTTGAGACAGAGTCTTGCTCTGTCACTCAGGCTGGCGCAGATCATGCAGTGGTGCGATCTTAGCTCACTGCAACCTCCACCTCCCCGGGTTCAAGTGATTCTCCTGCCTCAGCCTCCCTAGTAGTTGGAATTACAGGTATACGCCACCACACCTGGCTAATTTTTGTATTTTTCATAGGGACGGGGTTTCACCATGTTGGCCAGGCTGGTCTCGAACTCCTGACCTCAGGTGATCTGCCCACCTTGGCCTCCCAAAGTGCTGGGATTACAGGCGTGAATCACCACGCCTAGTATATATGCAACTTTAAAATAAATAGTCCCAGCCTGGCGCGGTGGCTCACACCTGTAATCCCAGCACTTTGGGAAGTCGAGGTGGGTGGATCACCTGAGGTTGGGAGTTCGAGACCAGTCTGACCAACAAGGAGAAACCCCATCTCCACTAAAAAAATACAAAATTAGCTGGGCGTGGTGGCGTATGCCTGTAATCCCAGCTACTCGGGAGGCCAAGACAGGAGAATTGCTTGAACCCGGGAGGCGGAGATTGAGGTGAGCCGAGATCGTGCCACTGCACTCCAGCCTAGGCAACAAGAGCGAAACTCCATCTCAAAAATAAAAAATAAAATAAATAGTCCCTGTCCACTAAAACCAAGCACTCTGAATACAAGCAACGCGAACAAAACAGGAATTTACATAATTTTCAATAGAGAGGGAAATCTGCTGACTTACACTGCAAACAAGAAGCTTGCTTCTAGTACTTAAATCAATGGCATTTCTCTAAGATCACATCTGCCAGGTGTGGTGGCTCATGCCTGTAATCCCAGTGACTCAGGAGACTGAGGCCAGAGAATCACCTGAGGCCAGGGGTTTGAGATCAGCCCAGACAACACAGTGAGACCCTATCTCTGAAAAAAATCAAACTTTTGGCCAAGCATGCAGTGGCCCATGCCTGCAATTCCAGCACTTTGGGAGGCTGAGGTGGGTGGTTCCATTGAGGAGTTTGAGACCAGCCTGCCCAACATGGCAAAACCTTGTCCCTACTGAAAATATAAAAATTAGCTGAGTGTGGTGGTGTGTGCCTGTAATCCCAGCTACTCGGGAGGCTGAGGCAGGAGAATTGCTTGAACCCGGGAGGGGGAAGCTGCAGTGAGCCTAGATTGCGCCACTGCACTCCAGCCTGGGCAACGGAGCGAAACTCCATCTCAAAAAAACAAAAAACAAAAGAAAGAAAAAACACTGTAGTCCCAGCTACTCAGGAGGCTGAGGTGAGAAGATTACTTGAACCCAGAAGTTGGAGGTTGCAGTGAGCCATGACTGCAACATTGTACTCCAACCTGCACACCCAGAAATTCCTTGAAGGGTAATTTCTTAAGGCTTCAACAAAAACAAATGATTCATTCATTGCAGGGTACTGAGTGCTTATCACGTACCATTGACTATGCTAAGTATGGCTATGGGGCCTGCCCTCACAGAATTTAGTTGGGGACATTGTACAATCATAGCTACGATACTTTCTAATGCAGCAATTCTCAACCAGGGGCAATTTTGTCCTCCAGGAGACATATGGCAATGTCTGAAGACATTTTTGATTGTCATAACTGAGGAAGTGTTATTGGCATTTACTGGGTAGAGACAGATGCTGCTTAATATCCTACAATACACAGGACAACTCCATAATAAAGAATTATATGGTCCAAAATGTCAATTGGGCCAACGTTGAGAAACCCTGTTCTAATTTAACAAGGAGCACAGGGAGGTGCGAAAGGTTAAGTAAAATGCTAGTTCAGGACTTTCTAAATTAGAAAGTCAACGTGTACCATCTAATAAAAATTAAGATAAGGGCCTAAACTGTGGAGAACTCTGTAAGATGGACAAAAGAGTCTAGAATTGATTCTTTGCAAATATGAAGTCAGTGAAGAGTAACAAGATGAAAAATGCTTCTTCTTAGAGAACTTTAAATTAAAGATTAGTCTGGTTGTCACAGAGAAGCTGAAGTATAGGTCATGAATGCCAGGTTAGCACAAATAAACAAAGAAACTGATGGCAACATTTCAAAGGAATAATCACTAGGATTGGGTAAGATACCGCTCAAGAACTCACAGATTTCAAATCTCAGCATTAAATTTCAAACCAGAGGTTCAGCTTCCAGTGACACTTTGCATTTGCTTAAGTTAAAAGAAAAATCTTTGATTCACAATACTTCACAAAAAACTGAAAGGAGGAAGTCACCTTTTTTTTTTTCTTGTAGAGACAGGGGTCTCACTATGTTGACCAGGTTAGTCTCCAATTCAGCCTCAAGAAAGTAACTTTTTAAAAGCTAAAAAAAAATAACTGCAACCAGGAAAAAGGGTGAGAATAAGAGATCATCCGTGAGAATAAAAGATCATCTGTAGGTTGGAAACAAAACATTTTACAGACTCAATAGATAACCTCCAAAGCAAAAATATACTCACTGAATCTTAACAATATCACCACCTTTGGTTTGCACATCAGGCTGTATTCTACAAAGTACTTTCACTGCTACCATTTTATTTAAACTTCTCTGAGATATCAATTATGCCCACCTAATTGAGGAAGTATTTCTGGAAAAAGCGAGAAACTCCTTTTTTCTTTTTTTTTGAGACAGAGTCTCATTGTCACCCAGGCTGGAGGGCAGTGGTACAATCTCAGCTCACTGCAACCTCCACCTCCCGGGTTCAAGCGATTCTCCTGCCTCAGCCTCCTGAGTAGCTGGGACTACAGGTGTGCGCCACCACACCCAGCTAATTTTTGTATTTTTAGTAGAGACGGTGTTTCACCATGTTGGCCAGGCTGGTCTTGAACTCCTGATCTCAAGTGATTTGCCCACCTCAGCCTCCCAGAGTGCCAGGATTACAGATGTGAGTCACTGTGCCGGGCCCAGAAATGTATTTATGCTGGACCTGGGCAAATCAATCAGCAAACTGCCAACCACAAAATCAAATCCAAACAAATTCAACAAGGCATTAAAAGCCCTTTACCCCGGGCGCGGTGGCTCACACCTGTAATCACAACACTTTGGGAGGCCAAGGCGGGCGGATCACGAGGTCAAGAGTTCAAGACCAGCCTGGCCAGCATGGTAAAACCCTGTCTCTACTAAAAAGACAAAAATTAGCAGGGCACGGTGGCGTGCACCTGTAATCCCAGTTACTCGGGAGGCTGAGGCAGGAGAATTGCTTGAACTTGGGAGATGGAGGTTTCAGTGAGCTGAGATAGTGCCACTGCACACCAGCCTGGGCAACAGAGCAAGACTCCATCTCAAAACAAACAAACAAACAAACAAACAAAAGCCCTTCACAACTTGGCTGACATCTAACCTTTTTTGCAGTCTGGTCTTCTGCAAAACTCCAGGCCCCGGTATTTCACTGAACAATTCAGGCCCTCTCCTGTCTCCATTATCTTTACTCTTGCTGTTTCCTTTAGCTGACCCACCTTATTAGACATCTTTGCCTGGATATGCTACAAACACCTCAAACTAAAAACATTCAAAATGCATTTTTTTCCCATGTCACTTCCCTAATTTACCTCTCATACTCTTTATATGAATGGTACTACCCAGTTCCCTAAGACAGAAAGCCAGGCAATCATGCTACTCTTACTTCTTCATTCCCATAATCAGCCTCCAATTCTATGGATTCTATCTTCTTAATATTGCTCACATGTGATCCCTCTCCATTCCCATTTCCACCGTCTTAGTTCAGGCCATGTCTACAGCAAGAGCTTCCAAACACTGGTTTACTTCCCCCATAGGCCTGGTCCCCTCCTACTTGACAGAATGAACTTTCTAAAATATAAATCTGATGACATCATTTTCCTGCATAAAACCCTTCAAAGCATCTCTATAGCTTTCAGGGTAAAAATCCAAATTATTTAGCATGACTTACAATGTCCTCCACATATGACTGACCTGACCACATCTCACTTCCTCCACTTCCCCAACCATTACTAGAATTCCAGTGACACTGAACTAGTCGTGGTCTTTCAGCTGTCCAGTTCTCCAGGTCCTTGCACCTGTAGTAGTCTCTGCCTGGAAATCCCTTTTCCAGATTCCCTATGTAGCTAAATAAATATTTCAAGAGTTAGTCTCCCATTTCCTCCTGGAAGCCTGGACAACTGGCTCAGGTATTTCTCCTCTGTGCTCTTGTAGCCCTGTGCTATGCGCTATGAAACTGTAAGCCATCCCTCATTTACTTGTCTATTTCCTCTCCCACAATAAACTCCAGAAGAACTGTATTCTTTGCCACAAAGGCTGTCTCATTAAAATGTGCCTCATACATGCTAAGGTCTTAATAAATATCTGGTGGGGCCGGGCACGGCGGCTCACGCCCATAATCCCAGCACTTTGGGAGGCCGAGGTGGGGGATCACCTGAGGTCAGGAGTTTGAGAGCAGCCTGGCCTTCACGGGGAAACCCCATCTCTACTAAAAATACAAATAAATTAATTAATTAAAGTCTGGTAAATGATACATGTGCTGATCTGCTCAAGGATTTTCACTTGAAGAGAGATCCCACAAAGAGCTTCAACTGACACAGTTCTGATGCTAACCTGTCTCAAATGTTCTCATTCCCCTCTTCGAACACATTCCTATTTATCCTTCAAAATTCATCTTAAAAACTCTGCTTCTTCAGAAGGGCTTTTCCTGAACCCCTTGTTACATACTTTCAGAGCACCGTGTTCTTTCCTAACTCTCATCAACATAATTATTTCTTAAACATCCCTGCAAACAGCGCTAGCTCCATGCGGGCAGGGTCTACATTGTTTTGTTTTAAAGCTGCATTCCCAGCATCTGGGAAAATGCTGGCACAGAATAAACACAATTTGTTACGCTGAATTTAATCCTGTGGGGTCAGCAGAGATCTCCACTTAAATGATGAACAAAAGGAGGCTCAAAGAAGTTAAATAAGGCACCTATGGCCATAGACACTTGGCACTGAGGCCAGACCAAACCTGAGCCGTCTGGTTTCAGGTCCAGAAGTACACACCTTCAATAAAGTTAGCCTGGCTTTTCAAAACAAGAGCAGCCGCCGAGGAGGAAAAGGAGGATATCTGCCCGTAAATACAAGGATTTGCCCGCCTCTCTTTTAAAAACTCCCTAGGCATTTCAAACAGCTCAATTTGGGAAGAGGGGAAAAAAAAGTTCCACGCAGCGATGGCCTCTGACCTGCAGCAGCCTTAAGGGCAACACCGACCGGAAGACCATCCCAAGTTAGAGAGGTTCCGAGCAACAAGGGACGGAACCGGGGCTGGTCATCTTAGGAACCAGGACCATGATTCTGATTATTTTCCTCACTCGCTATATATCTCGGACTAGCCTCTTCTCTAGGGATCAATTTACCCATCAGTGCAATGGGAGCATCAACAGGGAACAGGGAAGACTCTCCGATCTCGGAGGTTCCTTCCACTCAGAGCACCTCAGGAATCAGGCCTCCGCTGAAAATGATGTGCGGCACTGCGAAATCGGGCAGAGGGGCCTCCCTCGGGCAACCGGACTCAGCTGCTCACCCCGGCCCCACCTCAAGAGACCGCGCCCAGGAGTCCGGGTCGGCCTGAGGGCCTCAGCCCCGGCCCTCTAGGCAGGGTTCACGACACGCGCGCAGGCCAGAAGGGCCATTAACAACACCAGGGGCCGATGGGCCCCGGAGGAGACCCCAGTCCCTACCAAGCTGCACACCCTCACCTCAGAGTTCTGCCTCACCTCCGGACTGCTATCAGCCGCTCTCCGCTTCCGGCAAGAACCGCCCAGCAATCTCCGCGCGACCCACTTCCGGGCCCTCACTGGGCGCGGCACCCCCACCGGAAATGAACCGCCGGCTGAAGCGCTAGGCTGGCCCGCGACTGGGCAGGAAGTCTCACCGCCCCGCTAGTGACTCCGCCCCCCTTCGCCACGCCCCGGAGAAAGCGGCCCAGCTCGCACAGAGGGCACTTGGGGAAGAGCCCCGCCCCCAAGGCGGGAGCGACGCGGGGAGGGCGGGCTCACAAGCGAGGTCACGCCCTCGGTCCCCTTTACCTACCCGGAATCGCCCCCGAGACCCGGGCGCAGGAAGGGCAGAAGTCCCTGGCTAAGTTCCTCTCTGGAAGGAACAGAAGAGTGGCCAGTTCTCTGTCAGTTTGGTCTCAGTGGCAGAGGCCGGTTCCTTTCCGCTGCAGTCCGGAAAGGGTCTTGGAACGACTGGGGTCCAGGATTCTCTGAGGGCAGGAATCCGGTCGGCCGTCAGCTCTTGGTGGGGATCGAGGCCAAGCTCCCCCTGTCTCTGGGCGTGCATACCTCGGTTTCCCCGTTTGTGACGTGGGAAGGCAATTAGTCTGGACATTGTTGTGGGAGGACCTGCGGAGACTGGGCGCAGGGTGTGGGGGTCAGTGAGGGCGCTGTGGGTCAGCCCCAGCCCGGCTGGCAGTCCCGGGACTGGGAAAGTAAGAAACCCTCCGCTCTCACCCCACTTCCTGTTTGGTCGGTGTGTTTTGTGACCATAGATGGTCAGGTCTGGGGCCGCGCGAGAGCCTCCGCCCTTGTGGTTTTGGAGCCCTTCCTCCCGGCGCGCAGGGTGTGGTCCCCGAGAATAAGATGAGCAAAATTAAAGCAGATCCTGCACCCACCGTGCTGAAATCCGGCTTCTGAGGCAGCCTCATCCTGGGCTGGGCGGGCCCAGGCGGCTGCTACTCGGTTCAAGGGGAGGTTCCGCACGGTGGCTGCCGCGCGCAGGGGAGGATTCACTTCCTTGCTCCTTGGGCCGGGAGATCCGATCTTTGTTCCCTCAAGACTCACGCTCTCCAACCGGTCATTATCCTCCCACAAAGATTTATTTCTAGAAAAAACGGGCGGGTGCCACAGTTCCCGCCCCTTCAGCTGAAAGACTGTGACAGCTCCGTGTTTCAAGTTGAATGCAGGAGTTATATGCCAGAGTCAATCATTCAACAACTAAAGTTCTTATAATAACAGCTACCATTTACTGCACGCTGACTACTTGCCAGACCTATGCTGAGTTCTTCAAGCCTATTTTCATTTACTCCTAATAGCAACTCTCGGTGATTGGTACCATTATGTCCTCTGGTTTTCAAATGAGGAAGCTGAATAACTTGCCAAGGTCAGAAAATAACTGTTGAAACTGAAGGAAACACATCTGTCTGACTCTAAATCCCATGAGCTTAATTAGCCCCTGTGATAGACCACACTGCAGTCATTTGAGGCAGAGGCGGTGAATGCCTCTGGATCTGGAGACATACTGGGTTCCAGTGCTGGCATAGGCCCTCTACTAGGGGTCAGACTTTGGTCAGGTTACTTTGGACGGGTTACTGGGCCTCTTCCTAACTATATGGCTCCCAGCATGTTTAAAAGAACATGACAACATGAAAAAATATAGTATAAAAGTCATAGTATATTTTAAATATTGACATTTAACTAAAAACACTGTCTCTCACGCACACACAAACTCTAACTTTATTTGGATATAGTCTTTGACTCTGCATTTGGTTCTTCTAAATCTCTTTCTGGATTAGGGACAGAAGGAACATAGACCATACATGCATTCTAGAGGAAGAGGAGAGAGAAGAGGAAGCAGGAAGGAGAAGGAAGAAAGTTTCCTCATCTATCAAATGGGGAATATTCATGGGGCTGTAATGAGAAACAGAAGCAGTAATGTATGTGAAACCACTTTGTAAAATGCTTCATTATAAAGAATGTACACACGACTTAAGTTACAGCCCCTGCCCTAAGGAATGTCCGGTCTTTTAAGAAGTCTAGATACATGCACTTGTAACTCCAGTAAGAGATTGTAAGATAGTTGAAGAACATCCGTCACATGAAGGGCTGGGCGCGGTGGCTCACATCTGTAATCCCAGCGCTTTGGGAGGCCGAAGCGGGCAGATCATGAGGTCAAGAGATCAAGACCAGCCTGGCCAATATGGTGAAACCCTGTCTCTACTAAAAAATACAAAAATTAGCTGGGCGTGGTGGCAGGCATCTGTAGTCCCAGCTACTTGGGAGGCTGAGGCAGAAGAATCGCTTGAACCCGGGAGGCGGAGGTTGCAGTGAGCTGAGATCGTGCCACTGTACTCTAGCCTGGCGACAGAGCGAGACTCTGTCTCAAAAAAATAAATAAATAAAATAATATCTGTAACATGTATGCACTGAAAAAAATTATTGAGCTACATAGTAGCAATTATTGGAAGAGTTCAATAATTGCTATGTTATTTTGTACCAAGCACAACTGGGGATCCAGCAGTGGACACGTCAGACCCTGTTACTGCTCTCATGGTGCTTACAGTGTATTTTGGAAATAGTATTACCATTTGGAGTGGTCATCAGAAGATGTGCTGCCTTCTGTCTTCCAGCTTTTTCCTCCTCACTGATCTTGCCTCTTGTCCAGGACCCATTGCTTCATCCGTGGTGAGTTCTCATCTAGCACATGTTCAGTGAGTGCCTTGAATTCAGAATAGTATTTTCCTAGGCAGAGATGGACGGACAGATCATTGCAAAGCAAATATGAATGAACAGTAATGGAGATGGGAATCTGTGCTGGGCTGAGGAGAGAGGTTCCTGCAGGAGAGGAGTAGGAGATAAGGCTAAAGAAAAGGGGGTTGAGCAAACTATGCCGGGCCAGAGAGGTCAAACCTTAGTGAGAAAGCAAGGAGGCACTAGTCATACTGTATTTTAGAAATAAAAATCTAGCTACCGTGTAGGGCATGGCCTTCAGTGGGCAACAAAAGAGGCAGGGAGAACTGCTAGAAGATAAGCACAAAGATCTAATCAGAATCTGAATCAAAGCTGTGGTATGCGGATGCAATCAAGGAGAGAATGCAGAAGATACTGTTCTCATAAAGGGGGAAATGATGGTGATGATAAAAAGATAATAAATGAAAAGGGGATAATTTGCATATGAGACTTCAGACTAGATCTGGTACAGGTCCTATGGTTTGAATGTTTGCATCCTCTCCAAAATTCATGTTGAAACTTAATCCCCAATGCAATAGTATTAAGAGGTGAGGCCGTTCAGAGGTGAGCAGGCCACGAGGGCACCTCTCTCGTGAATGAGATTATGCCCACTAAAAGGGCTGAGGGAACTAGCTAGGCCTTTTGCCTTTTTGCTTTCTGTGCAGCTAGAAGGTGCCCTCTTAGAAGCAGAGGCAAGGCCCCCACCAGACACTGAACCTGCTGGCATCTTGATCTTGAACTTCCAGCCTCCAGAACTATAGGAAATAATTTTATTGCCAGGTGCAGCAGCTCACGTATGTAATCCCAGCACTTTGGGAGGCCGAGGCGGGTGGATCACCTGAGGTCAGGAGTTCGAGACCAGCCTGGCCAATATGGCGAAACCTCATCTCTACTAAAAATCCAAAAATTAGCCAGGCGTGGTGGTGGGTGCCTCTAGTCCCAGCTATGCAGCTATAAACGCAGCTACTCGAATCTCCTGCTGAGGCAGGAGAATCACTTGAACCTGAGAGGTAGAGGTTGTAGTGAGCTGAGATCACACCACTGCATTCCAGTCTGGGTGACACAGCAAGACTGAAAGACAGAGAGAGAGAGAGAGAGAGACAGACAGACAGACAGAGAGAGAGAGAGAGAAATGAAGAAACGTGTATTATTTATGAAGTGCCCAGTCTAGGTATTTTGTTATAGCAGCAGGAATGAACTAAGACACCATGTATACATTCTCATTCAATACTGCTTTTCCTTCTTGGCAGGTATTACAATCCTCATTCATCATTTGTGCAATTATCTTTTAATATCTTCCTCTCCTGTAAGTTCAGCGCATTCTAAACCTGCAGAATCACTTTGTCTCTGAGGGAACCACCCAGGTTTCCTCTATATCTCTCAGGATTTCAGACACAGAAGTCTGGCGGTTCATCTGGAGCCTCTCCCAGCCTGACTCAGAGGACTGCCTGCATCTGTGCAACCGGGCTCAGAGCCTGTCAACGTTTGGGCAGATCCTATATCCCCCTGCCAAATGGGCTAATGACAGACAACCATCTGTGTGACCCTATCTTTCTTCCCCTCCAAGGGTATGGCCCCAGATTTCAACCTCAGATAGGGTATCAGGCCCAAAAATTAGGAGTTGGCAAAAGAAATAGCTGCAATATAGAACTATGATTAAGATCTGGTTTTGGGGTCACTCTGAAACTGAATCCCAGCTCTGCCAACTGTGTGATCTTGGAGTTATCCTCATTTAACCTCAGAGAAGATATTAATACCCATCTTAAGTGGTTGATAGGAATTAGGACAGAAAACTAATAAAACACTTGGCTCACAGTAAACACTCAATGAGTAGTAACAATTATTACTAAGTATAGAGAACCTATTGTCTGTTTCCCTGGCAAAGGCCACCAGAAAGCAAAATAAGGTCTAAAGTGTCAACATACTAGATGGTGCCACCAGAACTACAACTGTCGCTATCCCCAGAAAGTTTTCCCATAGTCCCCGCTTCTTTGTATTGCTAACTTTTTTTTTTTTTTTTTTAAGACAGAGTCTCGCTCTGTCGCCCAGACTGGAGTACAGTGGCACGATCTCAGCTCACTGCAACCTCCGCCTCCCGGGTTCAAGCAATTCTCCTGCCTCAGCCTCCGGAGTAGCTGGGATTATAGGCACACACCACCATGCCCGGCTAATTTTTGTATTTTTAGTGAAGAGGGGGTTTCACCATGTTGGTCAGGCTGGTCTTGAACTCCTA